TAGAATACTGGCTTAGCATGCATGAGGCCCTGGTTTTGATCCCCAGTACGTGAAAAACAAAGCAGAGCCAATGAAATGGCTCACCTAGTAAAGAACCTGTTGCCAAGTCTGCACACGCACATAGTTTAAAAATACAGCAATAAATGGAAAGAAACTGAGCTTTTGGTAGGGACAGAAGGGGAAGTCACTGAACATTAATGGCTAACACAAAAGCTCTTTGGTTAATCCTGAGATTTCTTATAAATCCCCATGGCTGAGGCAAGGCTGTAGCTCAGCCCTGCCTAGCATACCCAATGCTCTGGGTTAGATCACCAGCACTAAGGGATGAGGGAAGCAATAAATCTAGAGAGTCCTGCCCATCTTCTCATCCTCCAGGACTCACAAACCTCAGTCTACTGACTTGCGTTCTAGCATTATTTCCTGACTGGAAGAAAACAAAGCAGCAGAAACTGTAGAGAACTAAGAATAAGTCCATGCAGAAAGTTGCAAATAGGATCGTCCTCCTTCACATATGTCACTCCAGGAAAACTGCCAAGAACAGCTCACTCCTCTAGCCACATTTCCTGCAGATCCTCCAGACTCTGGAGTCCTTAAGCATGTCAGTATTCTCCCTTGATTTCAACCCTCCCTTTGCATCAAGACTTCAAAGTGCATAGTTTGTATTCTCCAAAATCCCTCTTTACCCGTGTCTTAATTCTAAATATGTATCCTAAAGCCTTGTACAGCATTTCTACATCTAATGATGAAATTCATAGGATGTTATAAAATCAAAATTTCTAATGCCAAGGTTTAAAAAGCTTCTCAAGTACTTTATTGAATAAAATACTTTTCAAAAAGGTGATAACTTTACTAGTGGGTCTTTTCTGATAAAGGAATTCTTGAAGTAAAGTAAAAGTCAGATAGAGGGAGTTTGTGATTTTACAGACTGGATTCCCAGGCACCAACATTTCCAACGATTTACTGTATGAGCAGTTGAGACTAGGAGGCAGAAAAGGCTGAACAGAATCTATTATAACGGAAGGATAGACCTCCTGAAATAGAAAATCAAATAATTAACTACTGCTAATTAAAATTGCATTTAAAATCACTTGTCTAAATAAGCCTTGATAAGTGAAAGTGAGTCTCAAGTACAGGTGGGAATGGTTTCTTTGGGATTTAGAATTTACTCAATGACAGATTAATAAATTTCACTGTAAAATGAGTTTAGCAATCAAAGCTATTCCTAGATAAGTATGATTAAATTAAGGGTGAATAATACATTAACTGAATAAAGTCCAGTTATTAAAGCAAGTAATCTAAGTGCTCAATGTCCAACATTATGAGAAATGAATTTTCTTTTTTTTCTCCACTTAAGATTTTAATTCTCCCATCACTTAGTATAGAACTAATGATCTATATAAACATACAAAGACTTAAAGGACAATCATGCTAGTGATAGGAATACTGCATTTAATTCAATGTAAAAAATGAATGTTTACAGTTTTGAAAATTTGTCCACCCCAGCCCCTAAATAGTGAATTTATTTTGTGAAAGGGCTATTTTTGAAATCAAACATAAAATGATTATGTTTTCTGGCCTTCTATTTAGAATTTTTTTTGTAATCAAAAATTTAGTTTGGAACCATCTGAAATAGAATTTAAAAAGTGGAAAAAACTAAAAAATATTGATGCAAAGCTGCAGCAATATTTCTTCACAATTTCATAAAACATTAATGAAAGGTTACATAATCCCCGGATTAAAGATTTTTAAAGAGAACTGCAAGGATCATCTTTTTCGGTTTTCAGAACTGCTTTCCTTATTCTTATATCCATAAAAACAGATCTAAATCAACCTCATCTAGTTTGAAAATAAACCATCTAGTTTTCAGTTTTGTTTTGTTTCTGTTGTTACTATTGCTGTTGAGAAAAGGGCTTTACCAGGTGTGGTGGCGCATGCCTTCAATCATAGTGCTAAGGAGGCAGAGGCAGGTGATCTCTTGAGTTCCAGGCTAGCCTGGTCTACAGAGCCAGTTCCAGGACAGCCAGGGCTACACAGAGAAACCCCGATTCAAAAAAATAAAAGGAGAGAGCGAGAAGGGCCTGCTATGTAACCCAGGCTAGCCTCCAACTAACCAATTCCCCTGCTTCATTCTCCCAAGCGTCTGAATTATAATTGTGCACCATCATGCCTGGCAGCCATCTGATTTTCAGGAGAAAAAAACTAATCCGAGAGTAGTACAAAACAGTCACAGTCTTATTACAGCTTTAAATACATACTGTCAGTTACATTTAGGATACACCGAACCTAGTTCACTCTCAGGAAAAATAAAACCTACCAAAACAAAAGCTCCTTTACAACAAATGAGTATCTCAGTGGTTAAGCTTCAACCCCATCGCTACTTGTTCTCCCCCTACTCCCACCCCTCACCCCCAATTTTGGTTTTTTTTTTTAAGGCTGGTCTCATTCTCTAGCCAGGCTGGCCACTATCTTCCAGCAATCCTCCTGTCTCATCTCAGCTGAGATTAATCTCTAAAAGCGAGCTATCTTTTCATTTTTCTCTCTTGAAATGTTTATTCTGTGCTTGTTTATCTTTCATACATGAAATATTCTAACACCAGTTCAATTTAGAGTTAATTGCTTGATGTTAGTCTGTCCACACATGTGTCTTCGACCACTGTTAAAGAGAGAAAAACTGGTAAGCCTGAGGGCACCCGTGAAACGAGAGAGGGTCGTCTGAGAAACACCACTGTTTCTCTGCCTCAAATTCCTAAGTACTCACGCCAAAGATTCTCAGTATCCAAAACAGGGCCACAGAATCAGAGGCACAATACAATATATAATAAAATCAAACTGACATACTTTAATAAGACTATCACCACCCCAAAACTACTACAAAATAAAGATAAATAACCTAATTCCTTAATATTAAAGGGTTGCTTCTGCCATACTGCATGACTCAAAATAGTGTGTCAAACTTTTCTGAAGGTTGTAAGAAATGTAAGAAATATATTTTACATTGTGACCTAAAACATTTGTATATAAGAAGTTTCCCCAAATATTTTTCTTAAACAAATGCAAAGCTAGTATATTCTGTTTTACTTTCAATGCTGGTGGTACAATAATAGTTTTTAAAGTTACTAAGTAATCATAATCCGATTTTAAACAGATGTTAAAAAAAATATTCTGGGATTGGAGAAGTAGCACTCAGTGGTAGAGCCCATGCCTAGCATGTGTAAGATACTGAGTATCATCCACAGTACTGGGGGAGGGGGTGGATATCCTTTATAAGATGTTCTCTCAATCCCCTCCCCACAGAATTTGCTCCTACTATCGCTTCAGCAAGATGGGCAGGTATCCCGGTATTCTTAGGTTACTGACTACTGCCATTTTTCATTAAAGCAAGGTGTTCTCAGAGTATGCTCCCTTGAAGAACATTCAGCATCACTTGAGATAACTACAAATTCTTGGACCCCACCCCAGGCCGACTGAATCAGAAACCTAAGATGGAGTCAACCAAGCTGTACCAAGCCAGCAAGGAACTGCGTTTAAAATCTCGGCTCTTCCTATGTAACGACCCAATACTGAGTTCCGTACCAATCACTACACCAAAAATTCTACAAATATTTCCTTTTTTTTTTTTTTTAAATGCCTGTAATCCCAGCACTCAGGAGACAAGAGGCAGAAGGATCTCTGTGAGTTCAAGGCCATCCTGGTCTATATAGAAACCAGCCATGGCTGCAGAACTAGACCCTTTCTCAAAGATGAATGAATGAATAAGTGAGAAAATACAATTTAAATCCCACTAAGTAAAAACTGTGAGTATTACCAGGTGAGTGGCTGTACAAGACTTTTTATTTTCAGTTAAGGAGGGCATGCTATCCGCTTCATGAATATCCTCTTTCCGATCAAGCCCCAGTTTCACCCCTTTAGTTAGGCCACCCCTCCCCTTTTCCTCTCAGATTCCCCATCCTGTTGATGTCCTTATTTTCCAGTATTTTCGCTGTCATCCTAAAAGTAACTTCTAAAGCCCTAGCCTCCAAGGCACTTTAACCTTGCTTTTAAGGGCAGTGTCCACGGTCCGGCTCGGCCTATTAGTATAATTCATCTCTGCCCTTTTCGGAAGCCCTCACCGGCACCCTTGTTCATCAACTGTCCTGGCCAGCTTCCACAAGACCACTCGCCCACTGCGGGGCAAGTTTTCCCAGCTCGACTAACTCGCTTCCTCCAGGGAAATTACTCTTCCCCCTCTAACCTCCATCCCATTTTGCTTCGGGGAACTTCCACTTTCCCCCTGAACCCGTCCCCTAGTCTCAGATCCCAACTCCTACCTTCCCAAGCCTTCACTCTGAGGGTCTTCCGTGCCGACTCCGCTCCCAGACCCGCCGTGGGGGGGCAGGGCGCTGCCGTCGCTCCCCGAGCAGTTAGTTCAAGGTCTCCACCCCGCAGCCCCTTCCTCCTCCTCCTCCTCCTCCTCCACCCCGCTGCCCTTCTCGGGGGAGGGGGGGGGTTCGCACCCCACTCGGTGCCTTTCCTCCGCTCCCTGCCACCCCGGACCCCGGCCTCCCGCACCTCCCCACCTCTCTCCGACAGGGGCCACTCCCAGTTCCCTCGGTCCCCACGGCTCCCAGCGCACCCAGGAGCTCCGGTGATCCCCTCGTCTCCTCCGGCCCCCGGGCCGCTCGCTCCGGGTCGCCCCCGCTCGCACACCCCAGGAGCTCCGTCTCTTCGGGAAGCCGCGCACATGCCGGCCTCCGGTCACTGCCCCCCGCCCCGGGCCGAGCCGCTGGACTGCCCCGGGCAACCTCCCGGCCTGCCCCGCCGGGGTCCCGCGCCAACCTACCCTCCCAAGGCGAACTCCGCCGCCGGCAGGAACCCAGCCGTTCTCCTGCCGCGCCGCGCCCGGCCACGACGCGACCCGGCCCGCGGCCCCCGGCCCCTCGGCCTCCGCCTCCGGAGCGCAAAGCTAGAGTTTCCGGCCCGCCGCCACCTCCGCACCTCGGGCCCGCCTCGCTCGCACTCACCTGCCGCTGGCCCTGCACAACTCCGGCGCCTCAGACTCTACCTCGGCCGCCAGTAGCCACCAAGCGCCACCACCTCCCCCATGACAACAGGCCCGCCCCAGACGACACTTCCAACTTATCCATTGGGTGGAGGGGCGGCGGCTCTCTGCTACGATTGGTTAACGATTCCTGCCCGTCAACGTGTCTTGACCGCCCCTTTTCCTGGACGGGGTCTTCGCCCCCGCCCGGACCGGGACCGGCCTAGATCAAGCTTTAGTTGTAATTGGTTGCTGAGTGGGCAGTTCGAAGTTATGATAGGCTACTGCCAGTGTCTGTTACCTTAACTGACAAGGGGTGTGATGGCCGCGGTTGGTTCAAGCCCTGTGCACAGTTTGGTTGCGCAGTAGAAAGCGGAGAAGGGGCAGACGCTCACGTCCGAGGTTACCGGGAAGGGTTAACTCTTTGTTGTGGGGCTGGCGCTGTAAACTCTTCCTTGTCCGGGTCTCTTCCTACCAGGGGAAACATCTCTGCCAGCTTAGGGAGGTAGCGCTTGCAAAACATCGACTTCAGGGGTTGTGTTTAAGAACGGTCTAAACCCTCAGCAGAAAGGTATCTCATAGATTAAAATTCTGACTCGTGTTTTCTTGAAGTTTCCTTGAAGTTCTTTCCGGTAGTCTCCATGCTTTAGGTTAGGGCAAAGCGCGGCCCTTTATTAAGCAGCAGTCCGCTTCCGCTGCAATTATAAATATCGTCCTGAAACTGAAGTGTCTGGCATAGTGAGGGTTCTCCAGCTTCCAGACCCACTCTCCTGGGTCTGCCAAGTGACCAGCCCAACCATCACCAAGTTTTGAATAAACCGGCAGCGACTTACCCTTATGGCCCTTTGGAAATGAGAATTTCACCGGCCCGACCCCGACCCCTAACCGCCCCCCCCCACCCCCGACCCCGCACTTCCCTACAGTACTTGGCTTTTAAGTTCAGCTGTTCTTAAATAGTATTACTACCTGTCTTGCAGACACTAACCCCCCACCTCTCGTTCTCTCGCTCTCTTTCCTCCCTCCTCCTCTCTCTATTCCTATGGCTGATACTCATGTCTGCCCCTCTCCCTCCCTCTCCCTTTTCCTCTTCCTCTCCCTCCCTCCTTCCTCCCTTCCCTCCCTCTGGACCTCTCCTATTCCTAGCATTCTAAATTAGAACCATTGAATGAATTGCAGAGTTGTTTTTCTACCCTCGCTTGGTACAATACACGAGAATAAATGATTGCGTTTCTTATTCATTTGGGTACAAATCCCAGTAGGCATTTTTGAGAAATCTGGTGTTGCTATAAAAACTCACTGCTCCTAGAAATGCATTCATCATTAGCTTTCTCTGCTTTTCTTTTTCATTCCTGCTGCTTTTCCTGCTCCTAAATAAGAAAATGCTGGCCTGATGACTCTCTCAATTTCTAAGTCAAATTTAAATATACCTTCTCCACAATTTCACCTGGAATATGCAAACCTGTGGTGATAAACTTTAAGGAGGCCTGTATTCCGCAAACTCCAGGTCTTATAGTGAAGGCCTTCCCATGGAGCCAGCGTGGACTTTGGAAATTGTGTACTTTGCTCCTGCCTTTTGGCTGTAACTCGTTGTCCCATATCTCTTCTATTTATTAACCTTCCCTTTGCAGAGCAAGCTAACCAGAATCTAAAACTGTACAGTTTGTGATGGGGGGGGGGGTGTCTATTTTCTAACCTGTATTTTTAGTTGAGTTTAAATAAACTGCACATTTCTATCATCAAACTTAGCGGAAATTATTCCTCCAGTAACTATACATAACAATAAGGTGTTTTTCCCCCCTAGTTATCTTCCGGAAGCTTCTTCCCCTTTCTCTTATCCTCACCTTCCAATTTAGAAATAACCTCCCATTCAATTCAGTGACTCACAGAAAATCCATAAAAGGAAAGTGGGAAAGCCAAAATAACTTCAGAGATGTCTGAATCATTTCACTGAAGGAACGGCCGTGCACTGACCACGATAAGATGGAAGTCAAGACATAAGGCCCGATCCAACAGCTTACAGCTCATGAAGTAACCCGTGCAAACAGGAAGCTGCCCTGTGAGAGTGCAACATCCAAACAGCCTTTTACACAGCCTTTCAACGTGTGTCAGCAGCCTCCCTCTCTCTAGACTTGGCGGTGTGCCGTACTACCGATTTTAGAGCAAGTCAGAAGGCAATTACTGTCCTAGCAGATAGGAAACAATAACGTCATAGGAGGGCATGGCCATTATTACGGTACTTGAGGTAATAATGGCTCTTGCACAGCCAGAGTGACTAGGTGCCACACAGAACATAGAATTAGGCCAGTCTCACCAAGGGGGCTAGCCATCTAAGTGTAGGATCTCAAATTGCTATCACTAAAGTTGGTGGATAATGGCCACAAAGGTCAGCCACTCCTTATTTCAACCACTAAAAAGAAGGTTTTCCTGAGTGCTTTTGGACATCTGCTTCTGTCATTCTCCTATGTAAAATAGGAGAAAATTTAAAATAAATGTATATGAACAGCAAGGAGAGGAAAAACTTTAAGTAAAGAAGGTTTTAAGACCCATATGGGGCTGGAGAGATGGCTCAGAGGTTGGGAGCACCGACTGCTCTTCCAGAGTTCCTGAGTTCAATTCCCAGCACCCACATGGTGGCTCACAACCATCTGTAATGAGATCTGGCACCCTCTTCTGTATACATAATAAATAAATCTTAAAAAAAAAAAAAAAAAAAAAAGACACGTACTTTGCCAAGCATGGTGGTGCATGCCTCTAATCCCAGCACTTGGAGGCAAAAGTAGGCGGATCTTTGTGAGTTCGAGGCTAGCCTGGTCTACACAACAAGTTCCAGGGCAGCCAGGGCTGTTATACAGAGAAACCCTGCCTTGAAAAACAAACAAACAAAAAGGCACATACTTTGATGTAACAGAAGGCTGTGGTGCTATCAAAACTCTGCAGGACTGGGGAGAGTCTCCTTTGACCCCTGCGCTTTGATTTTACAGGCACAAGGTAACCCTGTAACGGAATTACCTGCCAGCTCGCCTCCTCTTCCCTGGGCTGTGTACTTTTCCACCACCCCCAGCCCCCACGCCCTTGGGAAGCTCCAGCCCTGGAGCCTGGTTGTCTGAAGCCTGTGGTGTATGGCTGCCTGTGGAGGCCAGGCAGGTGCTGTCTGTCCTGAACCTCCTGATTCAGACCATAATGGCAAGTATCGTAGGGGCAAGTGTATCTTTCATGAACACCAACTGAGTGGAAAATGGAGGACTCGGTGTGACACCCCAATATCTGAGGAGTACTGTAGTATGCCCCAGGCCTTCACAGGCACTGGTGCTAGTTTCTTTCCGCCTGCTTTTTACCGTGTGTCATGTTTCAAGGGGGACAGCATCCAAGTCTCCTTTCTTTCTTTTCTTTTCTTTCTTTCTTTTTTTTTTTTTTTTCTTTTGTCTAAAGGAGCAAAATCCCACCTGGGCCAAGCTCTATTTCTGCCTGTGGAATTCTTTAACTCTCCCACCCGCCCCTGCCCCCCCCTTCTAGACACAATTCCAGTTCCAAATGGGTTCGAGAAGTAAATTGCTCTGAAAGCAGACAGGGGCCAGGGCTACCTGCCACCAGCCGTTGGAGGCAAGCCAAGATTAGGAGCTAAGAGTTGGTTTCCTGAGGTGGGGATCTCAGAAGGTAGAGGCTAACAAGGAAGGGGGGATTAGAAAGAAAAGAGGGACTTGGGGAGGAGAAAGAGGGAGGAAAGAAGAAAAGCCACAGAGCAGGCCTAAGAGGAAAGGGTAAGGAAAGGAAAGCTAGACAGGTCCAGAAGCCCAGGAGACTGCTGAGCCAGCTTGGAGGCTGGCTGGTCACAGTGTCTGTGGACTTTATACCTAAGAGCTTGCCTAAGAGCGCTAATAAAATGCAGTGTCGGCCACCAGTTAAAGCGGGCTGCAGCCTGTAATACTCTTGTTCCTTCGCCTCTTGGAAACCCTCCCCAAGTTCAAAGCCTGCTGCTCTGGCAGCAGATTACATAGCCAACCCAAGAATATGTCTTCATAGATAGAGGTGCACTGTGGCTGAACACCAAGGCGAAGATGATTTTACCATCCCAAGCTGAAGAACTTCTAGAAGATGGAAGTACCAAGCTACTGCCCATGCTGGATCCAGGCACTGTGGTCTCCAGGTTTAAGGCTGTTTCCTGGATGAGAAGGGGAAGGGAGAGTCTATGGAAGGGGCTGTTCTCATGGGCAGAACCTTTTGCTTTCTTGTTCCAGAGTGCCTGTGACTTTTAAACGCCATACCATGCCTTTTTAGTAAATAATCCATCTTCATCCTCGAGAAAAATTACATGCCCCATCTACCTGATAGGTAAAAATAGTTGTTTACTTATAAAATGGATGAAGAGTTAGCTCATAGTGCGGCCATTGTGCTATTGAAAGGGGCCCCTAGTTACTATCATCTAATCTATGGGTGGACCAGCTATTCTTCTGCAGCAGGGAGTGGGCCAAGCCAAGTGCTGAGCACCATTTAAACTTTTGTCCATCCCGGTTTTACAGGCGTGCCGAGAGTTTCCTGGAAACATGGCTACTTTCCAAAGATTTCGCAGAGCAGAATGCCTTCTAGGACTCTCGTGTCCCAGTCACATGAAACCTTACAAGCAAGTAAATTTAGACGTACACATTTTTCTTTCTTTCTTTCTTTCTTTCTTTCTTTCTTTCTTTCTTTCTTTCTTTCTTTCTTTTTTTGCTTTGTTTTGTTTGAAACCTGATCTCACCATGTAGCCCAGGCTACCCTCAAGCTCAATGGCAATTCTCCTGCCTTAGCTCTTCAAGTATTGGGACTGATGGTATGCACCACCATACCAAGCTGGAAGTGATACTGTCTTGAATCTAACACACACGCCATATTCACTCATAATTTTGGTTCTGCCATTTACAAACTGTAACTGTAACTTTGGGGAATTTGATTCATCTCCTTAAGCTTCTGTTTCTCATTTACAGCATGATATGTGTATTCGCTCGCTGTCTTCTGCTGCATAACAAATCACCCTACGATTTAGTAGCTTAAAACAACAACTATTATTTTATAGTTTCTTTGAGTACAAAATCCTGGTGCAGCTTTGCCATGACCTCTAGCTCTGAGTCTCTCCTAAG